CCCCCCCCCCCCCCCCCCCCCCCCCCTTTACTATGATTCTCTGATCTCTGATGGAGAAACATTAACCCTACACCGTGAGTGTGAATGTGAGTGCCCCTAAATGTGATGTGGTGCATTAAAATTGAGGGACATAGGAGACAGGTGGGGGCAAGGCTGATGGCTACAGCACACTGCTGTCCTGCAGCCTGTGCAGCCATAAGGCCCCTGGAACCTGTTCCCATCTGTCCCCCAAGATGTAGGTGTGTGTGGTGCTTTAAAATTGGAGGACAGATAAGGATGGGTTGGGGGGCAGTATGGAGGGCTACAGGACACCACTGTCCCATAGCCTGCCCCATCGTGAAGCCCCCCAATCCATCAGTGGTCTGCACCTCAAAGAGTGAATGTATGTGGTGCGTTAAAAGTGTGAAATGTGTGGTAAGTGAACTAAATGTGGTTTAGGAGGCCAGGCCAGTGTAGGCCCGGCCCGAGGGCTGGAGGGATGGATGAGAGGGGCTAGAAGGTAGTGCCAACCAGACCCTGGCACAGCGAGGCCCCCAAAGCCCATGGACAGCGGGCCAGGTGGGCCCCAAGGAAACCCAACGGGCCCCCACCAAACCCCGCCCCCCAAGCAACCGCAGCGCAGCGCCGTTCTGATGTCCTGATGTCCTGATGTTCTGATGTCCTGACGTCCTGATGTCCTGATGTCTTGACGTCCTGATGTTCTGATGTCCTGACGTCCTGACGTTCTGATGTCCTGATGTCTTGACGTCCTGATGTCCTGACGTCCTGAAGTTCTGATGTCCTGACGTTCTGATGTCCTGATGTCTTGACGTCCTGATGTCCTGACGTCCTGACGTTCTGATGTCCTGATGTTCTGATGTTCTGATGTCCTGACGTCCTGATGTCCTGATGTCTTGACGTCCTGATGTTCTGATGTCCTGACATTCTGATGTCCTGACATCCACCTGACGTCCTGACGTTCTGATGTCCTGACATCCACCTGATGTCTTGACGTCCTGATGTCCTGACATCCTGATGTCCTGACGTTCTGATGTTCTGACGTCCTGACGTTTTGACATCCTGACGTTGTGATGTCCTGATGTCCTGACATTCTGATGTCCTGACATTCTGACGTCCTGACGTTCTGATGTCCTGACGTTCTGATGTCCTGAC